AGAGCAAGCGTAATCCATATGGCATTGTATAAGGGCTAGACATAGGGTCCTGCGAGCCTCAGTAGGTAGACACTGCTTGTCTATACAGGAACTTCAGTCTGGCATTCACTTTCTTTACTACACTGTTCCCTATCAATTCTCCTGACATGAATGGGTCAAAGGGGATTCCCAGATATTTTACTGAGGAAACTGAAGTTATGGGTTCCCCATCACACCGGACATTAAAATTATTTACCCCATCTCAGTTTATTCCGTTTTCCCGAAGTGTTATTACATTAGCTATATCTTGTGTGTCTTTACCTGACACTAACAGAGCACTGTCATCCACATACAGTAGGAGTTTGCACTTGACACTGATGGGCATGTCGTTTACACAACATAGGAATAATAAGGGACAGTGTTTACCTGGAGTTTACCTGGAGAGAGTTTCGGGGGTCAACGCCCCCGCGGCCCGGTCCGTGACCAGGCCTCCTGGTGGATCAGCGCCTGATCAACCAGGCTGTTGCTGCTGGCTGCACGCAAACCAACGTACGAGCCACAGCCCGGCTGATCAGGAACTGACTTTAGGTGCTTGTCCAGTGCCAGCTTGAAGACTGCCAGGGGTCTGTTGGTAATCCCCCTTATGTGTGCTGGGAGGCAGTTGAACAGTCTCGGGCCCCTGACACTTATTGTATGGTCTCTTAACGTGCTAGTGACACCCCTGCTTTTTTATTGGGGGATGGTTGCAAACGTCTGCCAAGGTCTTTTGCTTTTGTAGTGATGATTTTCGTGGGGCAAGTTCGGTACTAGTCCCTCTAGGATTTTCCAGGTGTATATAATCATGTATCTCTCCCTCCTCGTTCCAGGGAATACAGGTTTAGAAACCTCAAGCGCTCCCCTAATTGAGGTGTTTTATCTCCGTTTATGCGCGCCGTGAAAGTTCTCTGTACATTTTCTAGGTCGGCAATTTCACCTGCCTTGAAAGGTGCTGTTAGAGTGCAGCAATATTCCACCCTAGATAGAACAAGTGACCTGAAGAGTGTCATCATGGGCTTGGCCTCCCTAGTTTTGAAGGTTCTCATTATCCATCCTGTCATTTTCCTAGCAGATGCGATTGATACAATGTTATGGTCCTTGAAGGTGAGATCCTCCGACATAATCACTCCCAGGTCTTTGACGTTGGTGTTTCGCTCTATTTTGTGGCCAGAATTTGTTTTGTACTCTGATGAAGATTTAATTTCCTCATGTTTACCATATCTGAGTAATTGAAATTTCTCATCGTTGAACTTCATATTGTTTTCTGCAGCCCACTGAAAGATTTGGTTGATGTCCGCCTGGAGCCTTGCAGTGTCTGCAATGGAAGACACTGTCATGCAGATTCGGGTGTCATCTGCAAAGGAAGACACGGTGCTGTGGCTGACATCCTTGTCTATGTCGGATATGAGGATGGTGTGTGTACTCACCTATTTGTACTCACCTATTTGTGGTTGCAGGGGTCGAGTCTTAGCTCCTGGCCCCGCCTCTTCACCGGTTTGCTACTAGGCCCACTCTCTCCCCGCTCCATGAGCTTTATCAAACCTCGTCTTAAAACTGTGTATGGTTCCTGCCTCCACTACGTCATTTTCTAGGCTATTCCACTGCCTTACAACTCTATGACTGAAGAAATACTTCCTACTATCTCTTGACTCATTTGTGTCTTCAACTTCCAATTGTGGCCTCTTGTTTCTGTGTCCCCTCCCTGGAACATCCTGTCTTTGTCCACCTTGTCTATTCCACGCAGTATTTTATATGTCGTTATCATGTCTCCCCTGACCCTCCTGTCCTCCAGTGTCGTCAGGCCGATTTCCCTTAATCTTTCTTCATAGGAATTCCTCTTAGCTCTGGAACTAACCTTGTCGCAAACCTTTGTACTTTCTCTAGTTTCTTGACGTGCTTTATCAAGTGCGGGTTCCAAACAGGTGCTGCATACTCCAGTATGGGCCTGACATATCACGGTGTACAGTGTCTTGAATGATTCCTTACTAAGGTATCGGAATGCTGTTCTCAGGTTTGCCAGGCGCCCATATGCTGCAGCAGTTATCTGATTGATGTGTGCTTCCGGAGACATGCTCGGTGTTATACTCACCCCAAGATCTTTCTCCTTGAGTGAGGTTTGCAGTCTTTGGCCACCTAGCCTATACTCTGTCTGTGGTCTTCTGTGCCCTTCCCCTATCTTCATGACTTTGCATTTGGCAGGATTAAATTCGAGAAGCCATTTGCTGGACCAGGTGTCCAGTCTGTCCAGGTCTCTTTGAAGTCCTGCCTGGTCCTCATCAGATTTAATTCTCCTCATTAACTTCACATCATCTGCAAACAGGGACACTTCTGAGTCTAACCCTTCCGTCATGTCGTTCACATATACCAAAAATAGCACTGGTCCTAGGACCGACCCCTGTGGGACCCCGCTCGTCACAGGTGCCCACTGTGATACATCATTACGTACCATGACTCGTTGTTGCCTCCCTGTCAGGTATCCTTCTGTGTGTGTGTGTGTGTGTGTGTGTGCTCACCTATTTGTACTCGCCTATTTGTGGTTGCAGGGGTCGATTCATAGCTCCTGGCCCTGCCTCTTCACTGATTGCTACTAGGTCCTCTCTCTCCCTGCCCCATGAGCTTTATCATACCTCGCCTTAAAACTATGTATGGTTCTCTCCTCCACTACGTCACTTTCTAGGCTATTTCACGGCCTGACTACTCTATGGCTGAAGAAATACTTCCTAACATCCCTTTGATTCATCTGAGTCTTCAGCTTCCAATTGTGACCTCTTGTGTCTGTGTCCCTTCTCTGGAACATCCCGTCTTTGTCCACCTTGTCTATTCCGCGCAGTATTTTATATGTCGTTATCATGTCTCCCCTGACCCTCCTGTCCTCCATTGTCGTCAGGCCGATTTCCCTCAACCTTTCTTCGTAGGACAATCCCCGTAGCTCTGGGACTAGTCTTGTTGCAAACCTTTGCATTTTCTCTAATTTCTTGACGTGCTTGACTAGGTGTGGGTTCCAAACTGGTGCTGCATACTCCAGTATGGGCCTGACGTAAATAGTATACAGAGTCTTTAACGAATCCTTACTGAGGTATCGGAACGCTATCCGTAGGTTTGCCAGGCGCCCGTATGCTGCAGCAGTTATCTGATTGATGTGCGCCTCAGGAGATATGCTCGGTGTGTGAGGGTTCACCTGAATAATTGAAAACATTGTTATTTATTGTTCTTATTTCTTTTTCCGGAGGAAACTTTGTTTTCCTTAAAATTCCTACCTATATTTGAGATTAGATTTTAGATTTTGCCACCGAAGTGGCTAGTTTATTGTGCACCCCATATCCATCCTGTGGACGGTAGCGCGAGAGCATATGGATACACAAAAGGCCTAGGAACTAGGCCCCAAAGGGTTAACAGGAATACATATGGATTTATATCTACATATCTATAGTTCACTTATCTGTTACAAGCAAATTTAGGAAATTTGCTTAGTATATCTGGTATCTTATTTTCATTAATAAGATATCTTGACATGTCACATAGGTTATTATACTGTCTGTCTCTGTATTCCTCAATAGTGGACAATTAAGCACATAGTGTTCAGAGAGTGACCATATGCTGATCACATAATTTACATTTAGTTTGATCATCATCTGTGTGTCTCCCAAACTGCCAGAAGTACTTGTAACCAAGCCTAAGCCTGGCCACTACAACACTAGTCAGTCTGTTCACATTGCAAGTTGCTCCATAAACATACTTATCTACGTTCATGTTATCATAGTGGGTTATAGATCTACTCAGGCTTCTAACTGCATTCCTATAACAATCATTTTCATTATTTACTTCTCTCCTTATATTATTCCTAATGCTAGACACAGTTATACCAAAGTTATATTCTACATTCCCCCTTCTCGATACTCTTCTTGGCTAACATATCAACTTTATCATGAAGGAGTAATCCAATGTGTGATGGGATCCATAGCAATTGTACATTAATTCCTTTGTCCCTAATTTTTGAGTATCTATACCTGGCTTCCCCAATGAGCATGTTGTTGGAGTCATTATATGAGTCAAGAGCCTTCAGTGATGACATAGAATCAGTAATGATGATAGAGTCAAGCTCAGTGTCATAGGTTAGCTTTAGCGCCATTAGGATTGCAAACAATTCACTTTGCAGTGTAGACGCCCAGTTGTTAATTCTTATGCCTAACTAAAACAAATTTATTATCGTTCTTAACTAGGGAGGTGGCAACAAGAGCAGATGCAGCCCTGCCAGAAGACTCCTGTTTAGATCCATCAGTGTATATAACTTGTGATAACTTGTTACTCCCAGCTAGGTGAGAAATTTCTTCTTGAGCAGTTGCTCTAACAAGAGATTTAAGGAAGGGATTACTAGCAATGAGCTTCTTGGGAGGGACTTGTAGGTATGTGATATTAAATGAACACATCTTCCATGGAGGGGTGAAATGCTCTTGTTGCCTACAGTGATACAGTTCATGTAGGTTATAAAATTAATGCAATTGCACGTTTTCACAATCCATTTAGATCTGTGTGTATTTACCTCTAGACACTTGGTAAGATTCACTGTGACAGTGTCTGGTTCGTTTCTCAACATTTCTAATACGAGTACAGTGTTAATTTCAACAATCCTATCACTGATACTAGAAATACCAAGCTCCTTCCTCATTTAAGAACTTTTGTAGATCTGGGACAGCCAAGAATAATCCTGAGAGCTTCATTTTGCATTAACTCCAAGGGTCGGAGAGAACTTTCTCTAGCTAATATCAACATGGGAGCAGCATAATCAATTAAGGACCTAACATAGGCTATGTACATCATTCTCACGATTCTCACATTTGCACCATAGTTGGGATTGTAGCCAGCAACAGCTTTGAGAGCATTTAGCCTAGCTTTACATTTCTTGTTTAGTTGTGGTATAGTGGATTTGTTAAAGGGTACATCTACACCAAGATTTGAGCAATATATTTTCGCGAAATTTTGTTTGGCAAAGTTCAACAAGGCATAAGCCTTGGTGGTCCTTAACAACCCCAAAATAAACAACAACAATAACACGTGCAACTTGAGTATTGTCAGGAAAAACTTGAAGTTCAGTACACGTACAGAACAAGAAAAAGGTGATTTTAGTCGTAGTTTGTATTAGGGTCACGCACATATATATGTTTATATTTTTACGTCATTCGTATATAGTATGTTTTGTAGTATTTAACCTGGGATAACCATCATTTTTACTGTATCTACTCCCCTCAAGGAAGGTTCCTTGATGTTGGTGAGGGGCTCTTGATTTAGGGAATTGGATCTGTGCTCCAGTTCCCCGAATTAAGCCTGAATGCCTTCCACATCCCCCCAGGAGCTGTATAATCCTCCGGGTTTAGCGCTTCCCCCTTGATTATAATAATAATAATAATACTGTATCTACTGGATTACCAACAGACCCCTGGCAGTCTTCAAGCTGGCACTGGACAAGCACCTAAAGTCAGTTCCGGATCAGCCGGGCTGTGGCTCGTATGTTGGTTTGCGTGCAGCCAGCAGCAACAGCCTGGTTGATCAGGCTCTGATCCACCAGGAGGCCTGGTCTCAGACCGGGCCGCGGGGGCGTTGACCCCCGGAACTCTCTCCAGGTAAACTGTAGTGATTTTATCCCTTTCCCAGGTTAGGATACAGTTTTGTTTGGATTTTTAATCCGGAAGGTTAGCCACCCAGGAAAATCCAATAAGGTCAGTGCGTTATTGGTAACTGTCTTATTTTCACTAGGGGTCCTTTAATTAATCTCCCCCAGGATGAGACCCAAAGCTGTTGACTAATACTCAGGTACCTGGAAAAAGCTGACAAATACAATATAAAGCTGTCCTTTATTGACAACGTTTCGCCCACGTACTCTTTCCCCAGGTAGATGTGTTTATGACTTGATAAAGCCCACTGTGTGGGCGAAACTGTCAATAAAGGAGGCATTATGCTACATTTGTGTCTACTTTTCCACTGTGTCTGTATTTTATACCATTCATTTCTATATAGTACCTACTTACTGCTAGGTGAACAGGAACAGCAGATGTAAGGAAACATACTCACTCAACCCAGTGTTTCCACTTGTGCCGGGATCAAACCCTGTTCCTTTAGTTGTGAGCCAAAGTCTCTGCCACTTGAATCACAAGTTCCTTGGATCAAAAGCATCTTATTGAAGGGAACTAACCCACAATTTTGAGAAGAAATTTTAGATGTTATGGTTCATCCTGGATTAATTATGAGTTGTTTCATAAATGGTATTTTGGGTTAGACAAGATAAGATTTTGTTCAGATTTTTAATTCCAGAGGGTTAGCCACCCAGGATAATCCAAGAAAGTCAGTGTGTCATCAAGGACTGTCTGTCTTATTTCCATTGGAGTCCTTAAATCTTGTTCCCCAGGATGCAACCCAAACAAATTGACTTAACACTCGGATATCTACTTGCTTGATAAGTGAATGGGGACAACAGATGTAAGGAAATATGCCCAGTGTTTCTACCCTTCCCAGAATCAAACCACTGACACACTGTATGTGAGGTGAGAACATTGCCTACCAGGCCACAGGACTCTTATGACCAGGCCATGGGACATTTATGACCAGGCCATGGGACATTTATGACCAGGCCATGAGACACTTATGACCAGGTCATGCATTTATGACCAAGCCATGGGACACTTCCAGGCCATGGGACACTTATGACCAGGCCATGGGACATTTATAACCAGGCCATGGGACACTTATGACCAGGTCATGCATTTATGACCAAGCCATGGGACACTTCCAGGCCATGGGACATTTATAACCAGGCCATGGGACACTTAGTTGTGAATTGTTCCATCCATGGTATTGTGGGTTAGTTGTGAATTGTATTTTTATTGTAAATAATTCATACTGTTTTACTTTACTGTGTTATCCTAGGTTAAATATTAGTAATTTATTAGTACTGTATGTTTTATAATCCTCATGTGTTTAATGCAAAAAAAGATGGCAAAATTATAATACATTCTGTAAATACATGCATATTTGGCTAAATAGCATTTATGTATCAGTCTTCAGATACACAAATACATATTGTGAAGAACGAGATGGGTATTTTGGAGAGAAGAATGAAGATATTTTACAGGAAAACCAAGAAAGGAAACATCATGAAGGTAAGTTTTGTGTGTGTGTGTGGTGTGTGTGTGTGTGTGTGTGTGTGTGTGTGTGTGTGTGTGTGTGTGTGTGTGTGTGTGTGGTGTGTGTGTGTGTGTGTGCACGCGCGCGCGGCTTGTGTGTATGCATATGTTTGTACGCTCGTGTGCATGTGACTGTGCGTGCGCCCTCGTGTGTGTATGTGTGCGCGCGCACGCTAGTGTGGGTGTATGATCCACTTAATATTTGTATTTATAACTCATTACAATTGTGACCAGGTGTGGACGTATCAGTGGTTCATTACTTTGTAATTTGTTCATGACTGTAACCATGTATAGGAGTGAGGCTGATTCATTACCTTTGTAACTTGCCATGGTTGTGACCAGATCTACCTGGAGTTCATTACCTTTGTAACTAGTTCAGCTATCATAACTTTGGGGTCCAGTCCCTGGACCCATTATGTACCTATGTAATCTTTTGACTACCGCCCACAGGATGGGTATGGGGTGCATAATAAAGATATTAAACTAACTAACTTTAGAAGGGTAACTTGATACTGGTGAAGGGCCTGTGTCAAGGAATTAATCCTTAAACTGTCCAAACGTAGATCTACATTTGTGTGCGTAATGCTCCGACCTTGATTTTCTCCATGAGAAAGAATGTAAAAAAAGTAGATCTACATTTGGAGTGCTACGCGAGCGAACGTAGATCTACGTTTGGACAGTTTAAGGGTTAAGAGATAACCTGCCCCTACCTTCCCTCAGATCAAAATTGATTACTTCTTACTTTCCAGGCACTGTATCTGATACTCCTGCAGGTTAAACACTTCCCATTAATGTAATTCACTAATAGGGGGATGGAAAATGTGCAGATTCCCAAAAATTAGAATGTGAAGTAACCTGGCACCATTGTTGACTTACCACACTTCTGGAGCACACTAATGATGTACCACTCTTGCCAAGGATTGTACAGTATTCTGTTACACTGGGTTCTAGAGTCTTTGCTACTTTAAGATGTTGTATGATCCCCATGAATAATGATAATGGTGCACAGTATCACACACATTATTATTTATATATAGTATCTATACATTATTGATTTTAGTTAATAAAAATTGATGAATTATGTAAACTAACCTTATTTAAGTTAATTTAAATATATTAATGACAAAATAAATAGTCAAATGGCCAAGATAAGTTGATAACTGCTACCATGTGAAATTAAGATTTATGATGTCATGAGCTCCATTAACAGCCTTGGCAGTAATGTAAGATACTGCTTCCACTTGATTTTGGAACTAGTTACTCTGATGTTACAATCCTCACTTAACATAAAATTATATAGCTATAATAAAAATGTGCATTTTATTCTTCCCATAAGAAACATGTGAGTTGTTGTATCTAGTTAGCTCACCCTTCATATTTAATCTATTGCTTTTCCCCACTTTCAGATTTTTATTGTTTAACTCACTTTTAAGTTGTTCTTAGATTAAATTTTAATGACTAATATTATTTTAGATTGTTCGAGAGCATTACCTCCGTGATGATGTTTGGTGTGGATTAGCGGGATGTGGCATCTGCAAGGCAGAGCAACCTGTCTTAGAGATGGTTAACAGTAGTAACAGTACTCTTGTCCCCTTGGCTCACTTCATCCTCATTGACACTAATGTGGCCCTCCATCAGGTATATGGAAATGTGTACAGTTGTTTGAAATATTGGTGTATACTGTACTTATTTTTTTATTTTGATTTTTCTTCCCTCATGAAATATTCAGGTTGCCAAATTTTTGACAGATCTGATTATCTTTGCACATCTTTTTGATGAATAGCACCAATTATCACCCAGTGCAGTACAGTATATTATCCCAGTAGTAGGGAATATTTAAAATATCAGCATATGTATGCTCGTAATATAGTTTGGGCAGTGTAATTTCCTGGTGGCTCTTGTGTGATTTTTTTTCTGTAAGGGTCTTTATTGTAGGATGTCATAACAGTGAATTAGAAGAATTTCACATTTACAGTGTGCAGCCTTAGTAAAGTGACTTTTGATGAACTGGATAATCCAAGTTAAAATTTACAGTACTTGGAAATTTTTTACACCAAACTAGTTTTCTCTGGATACTATATCTTACAGCAGTTTGTTGTGTAGATTACAGATTTTAAAGACTTATTATGTATTATAAATTCATAATTTGTAAGTGTAATGTCAGGTGAACTTCATAAAAATTAGTTGAAAAGGAGTATTTCTGGATGTTCAAACAGTATTGTAGACATTGAGGTAAAGCTGATGCAACGCAGATGAAATATCTGCTTAATCTTGTATGAATTTACAGCTTTGCAAGAACAATTTTGTCAGTTACAAAAATTCAGATTTTTTTTGTTCTACTAAAACTTTTTTTTTTATATAAATATTGTAGTAAGTGGTTTTTGATAGTGGAATATATGGTCTTTAGGGCATTTAATATTTTTATTATATTCAACATGTCTCTCCCTTATAATCTGTTAAGCAATTTGTACATTGCACTCATTAAGTGCACTGGTTTGTAGTTTAGGGCTTCTTGCCTGTCACCTTTCTTAAATACTATTCATATCATATTCTCTGCCTTCCAGTCATAGTAGCACTTTATCTGTCATTAGTGACTTAATCAAAATCTGTGTAAGTGGCTAGCACAGTATTCAGTCTCTTTTTTTTAATGTTTGGGGCAATATTCGTTGACCCGTTAATTTGGATTAATTCTTTTTGGGTTTTTTTTCCCTTTAGCTATTTAATCATGAAGTCTTTGAATTTATCCTTCTTATCACCCGGTACTTTGACCCAGGGTCATTTTAAAATTACAGTTCTGGTTGTGTTAACCATAACATATCTAACTATTCCTGTCATTTGATGTGTTTCTTATTTAAGGATTTTATTTTTTTTCATTTTTTTTTCTTAGGTGTCAGTGAAGGGATTCTGGTTCTGTCTTTTCTTGGTTGCCAGGGTCCATTAAATTTCAGCTTCATGTTTTCATTAAAAAATTAATTTTAGCTTTTCTGTTTAAACTTTTTTTTTTATTATAAAAATAAAAATGGAGAATGAAACTTACAAAATATTTTGTTATTGGAACATTCTTTCACTGTATTGTAAAATTTTTGTAATTGTTTAAGTCATAGTAATTGTATAATTTATCTCTTCCTGCATTAAAATTTTATTTTTTTTTTCACAAGCCTTTTTTCATTTTTATCAAAATTTTAAATTGAATGGTTGTGGTACAGTATACCATGGGGAAATCAAGTTATCCCTTCATAATGTTACTGTAAAAGCCCCAACAGTTGCAAGTCATAATAAACCATTGCCCCTGTTCACTTCTATAACATGTTTTCACAAATCCTGCCTGGATGTCCAAGCCCATACAATACAAAAACCTTTTCTTTAACCCCTCCCCAAACCTTTCCTTAGGGTGACCCCTGCCATTGATTTTCTTAATTTTCATTTTTTCTTCCTTCCTAAGTCATCCTATTTTCTATCCTTTCTATGTCCAACCACCTCACAAATTTAATTCGGGTTTTAAACTTTTTTGTCCCATTTCCTTCAAATCTTCAACTATGGAATTCTCTAATGTTTTCACACGAATCCTGTGGGAATTTCTGTATTTTCCGGGCTGAATTAATTCCCTTCCTGCAATAAGTTATTGCTTTTTTTTCACACTTCTATTTTCTGCTTCCTCACAATTTACCCAACTGGGTGAAACAGTATTCACTAGGACTTCCCGGGTTGAATTTAAAAATGTTCCGCTTAAAACCCAAAACTTTTCTCTAAAAACTTTCTGTCTTTTCAAACAGCCAAATCTCTGGATTGCCACCATACATAAAAACTCTTAACCCCCCACCCGGCCCCCTTTTGGTACCTCCCGCCACCTTCAATCAAAATTTAAAACTTCCCCTGTCCTCCTAGTTCTAAATCTCTAATGTCCAAACCAACCTCAAACCTCCTTCCCCCTCCAAATCTTTGGGGTACCCCTTTTCCTCAATTCTTAAACTTAATTCTTTTATTTAAAACCAACCCTAAACAAATTTCCCCTAAATCAAGCCCCATTCCTCCTCTCCTTTTCCCCTCCTCATTTTCCCTTCTCTTCCCCCCTTTTTTCCCCTTTCCTCCTCCCTTCCCTCCCTCCTCCTCTCCCCTCCACTCCTCCTCCCCTCCCCTCCATCCTCTCCTCCTCCTCTTCTTTCCCCCACCATCCTCTTTCCTCCTCTCTTCCTCCTCCCCTTCCTCCTCTTCCCTCCTCTTCCTCCTCCTCTTCTCCCTCCTCCTCCTCCTCGTCTCCTCCCTCTTCTCCTCTCCTCCTCCTCCCTCTTTCCTCCTCCTCCTCTTCCCCTCCTTCCCCTCCTCCTCTTCCTCCCTTCCTCCTCTCCCTTCCTCCTCCTCCCCCTTCTTCCCTTTCTCCTCTTCCTCCTCTCTCCATCCTCCCCTTCCTCCCCCTCCTTCCCCCTCCCTCCTCCTCCTCCTCCCCCCTCTTCCTCTCCTCCCCCTCCTCCTCCTCTTCCTCCTCCTCCTCTTCCCCTCCTCCCTTCCTTCCCTTTCCCTTTCCCTCTCCTCCTCTCCTCCTCCCTTCCCCTCCTCTTCCTCCTCCTCTTCCTCCTTTCCTCCCTTCCTCTTCCTCCTCTCCTTCCTCCTCTCCTCTTCTCCTCCTCTTCCTCCTCCTCCCTCCTCCTCCTCCTCTTCCTCCTCCTCTTCCTCTCTCCCCTCCCCTCCTCTTCCTCCTCCTCCCTTCCTCTCCTTCCTCCTCTCCCCCCCTCCTCCCTCTTTCCCCTCCTCCCTTTCCCCCTATTTTTTTTTTCCTTCCCCCCCTTCCTCTCCCTCCTCTTTCCCCCCCTCCTTCTCTCTCTCCCCCTCCTCCCCTCCTCCTCCTCCTCCACCCCTTTCCTCCATTCCTCCTCCCCCTTTCCTTCTTCCTCCTCTCTTCCTCCTCCCCCTTCCCTTCTCTCCTCCTCCTCCTCTTCCTCCTCCCCTTTCCTCCTCCTTTCCCCCCTCTCTTTCCTCCTCCCTTCCTCCTCTTCCTCCCCTCCCCTCCTCCTCCTCCTTCCTCCTCTTCCTCCTCCTCCCTTCCTCCCCCCCTCCTCTTCCTCCTCCTCCCTCCTCCTCTTCCCCTCTTCCTCCCCTCTTCCTCTCCTCTCTCCTCCTTCCTCCTTCCTTCCTCCTTCCTTTCCTCCCCCTCTCCTCCTCCCCCTCTTTCCCTCCCTTTCCTCTCCCTCCCCTCCTCCCCTCCTCCTCCTTTCTCCTCCTCCTTCCCCCTCCTTTTCCCTCCTCCTCTTCCTCCTCCCTCCTCTTCCTTCCCTCTTCCCCCTCCTCCTTCCCCCCCTCTTCCCCTCCCTCCTCTTCCTCCTCCTCCTCTCCTCCACCTCTCCCCTCCCCCTCCTCCTCCTCCTCTTCCTCCTCTTTCCTCCTCCTCTTCCTCCTCCTCTTCCTCCTCCTCCTCTTCCCCCTTTCCTCCTCTTCCTCCTCTTCCTCCCTCCTCCTCTTTCCTCCTCCTCTTCCCTCCTCCTCCTCCTCTTCCTCCCCCTTCCTCCTCCTCTTCCTCCTCTTCCTCCTCCTCTTTCCTCCTCCTCCCTCCTCCTTTTCCTCCTCCCTCCTCTTCCTCCTCCTCTTCCTCCTTTCCCTCCTCCTCCTCTTCCTCCCCCTTTCCTCCTCCTCTTCCCCCTCCTCCCTCTTCCTCCTCCTCCTCTTCCCTCCTCCCTTTTCCTCCTCCTCTTCCCTCCTCTTCCTTCCTCCCCTCCTCCTCTTCCTCCTCCTCCCCTCCTCCTCCTCTTCCTCCTCCCCCTCTTCCTCTCCTCTTCTTCCTCCTCCTCTCTCTTCCTCCTCCTCTTCCTCCTCTTCCCCCCCCTTCCTCTTCCCTCTTCCTCCCCCTCCTCCTCTCCTCTTTTTCCTTCCTCTTCCTCTTCCTCTTCCTCTTCCTCCTCCTCCTCCTCCTCCTCCTCCTCCTCCTCCTCCTCCTCCTCCTCCTCCTCCTCCTCGCCACCGCCACCGAAGCCCATTGCTTCACACACCCATATAAGAGTGTTCATACCACTATACCCATGTGCATTTTTCTTTTTGCCTCCATAGATAATGTTTTTTTGTTCACAGATCCCTCATTCTTTGGCTTTTCATTTTGGGCCACCCTGCCTCGGTGGGATATGCCCAGTTGGTTGAAAGAAGGAGATACCTCATTGCATCACCCACCTTTTTCCTCTCATTAATTCTATGGTTCGCCTCGTTTTTCATAGATCCATCTCCTGACAAGTCCACTCCCAAATATTTGAACACATTCACTTCCTCCATACTCCCTCCTTTCATTCTGATATCCAATCTTTCATTGCTTGATTGTTTTGTTACCTTCATGATCTTGCACTTTCCAATCTTAACCTTTAATTTCCTCCTCTCACATATCTTCATAAATTTGTCCCTTATGATTTCAAGTTTAGAATTTTTTTTTTTCACAAACTGCTGAATCCCTGAAGCGGAGCCCAAAGGAAAAAGAAAATTTTCCTTTAAATTAGTATATATACGGAGAAGGGTTACTACCCTGCTCTGGCATTTTAGTCGCCTCTTATTACATCATGGCTGGAGGAAGATTCTGTTCCACTTCCCCATGAAAAAGTTATATTTTTATTTTTTTTTATATCCCGGGCCGATTCCACCAAGGCAGGGTGGCCCGAAAAGAAAAATTTTCCCATCATCACTCCATCACGCTTGCCAAAGGTGCTTTAACTACAGTTTTAAACTGCAACATTACCCCCCCTTTTCAGTGCAGGAAAT